AAATTTTCTTACTCTACAAAACGAGGGACCACCTTTTTTTCGAATTTCAGGAATTTTGATAGAAATATTCAAGGATGCTTTTTTGTCTTAATCTCTTCAAGTCCCCCTTCTGGACATACCGAATGAAATTACACGATTTCTCGAAATCATCAGCATCCAGCCTTGGCTTTCCAAAACCAGAAAGAGTGTAGAGCTTTAAAAAGCCACCTCCTTTGAAGCGGTGACCAGGTGATTAATCAAAACTGATGAAAAGTTTTTGGGTCCACAAAGGGTTTTTTCACATCCCTTTTTAACGATCCTAAGGTGTTTTTGTGCAAAGTTTATCGTTTGTTTATTGTTTTGTTTGCCGTACGTAAGCGAGGTAGCCCAAGAGAAGCCACCGGGCTTATAAGGAATGGGCTCCCTCGGTTAAATAATTAGAACAAAATATTATCATAATTACAGAAGTAGAAAGTAGGCCACGATACTTGGCAATCTTGAAACGCTGAAAAATCACTATATCCTCGAGAATGCGGTTTGTCTCCAATTTTCCCTCTTATTCAAAGGGGTGGCACTAATGATGAGTCAGTTTTTTTCCACACAACATAGGTTTTCGTCTTCAAATAGTGGTAGATGGAAACAATCATGTTTATCTAACTTAAAGATGTTTGCATCGCCTGCCTTGAAGTTGATTGAAATTCATCAGACAGAGAAGTTTCGCATGGTTCACGTGCTTCTGAGGAAATCAGAAGTTTTTGGAAACTTACGGTTGAATGTAAGGGTGACTGTTTCCGATAGGCTTCTGAGATGTTTAACCTCTTCTCTTTAAAAAATGGTACCCTTGAAAAAGCACAAGCAAAGGTGTAAAAACATGCTTCCTCTTCATCAAACTTCAATCACCATTATCTCTTATCCTTCGCAAATTCAGAACAAGATAGAACTTTTTGTTGGAATAAGGCATAACCCCACTCCGCACGCAAGTGGAATCTTTTTCAGGCTACAGGTAAATGAAGGGTAGTGCAGTAATTTTACTGCATGGTTGAAGTATATGAAAAGGTAGGGAAATATGTCATTTTGGTATGTAGGGCCAACAGATACATTTTTATGCTGTGAAAAAGTAGAGAAAACGTTCCGCTTTCTAGCTGGGCCACCAGCCATAAAAATAATATACCTCATCTTGTAGACAAGATCAAAGGCTTTCCACCGAAGGCAAAATCGTTTCAAAATATTGCAACACGTGTATTGTGTGTACTTCCAAGGGTTAATACTTAATTGAGGCATTGAGACTGTTTCCCATCACCTGTTACTATGTATAACAAGGATGGCCAACTTTTTCAAGCTTTAATGCCACGACTGCATAAATCACGAAAAGTTATTATGGTTTGTGCTCCCTCTTCATAAACTC